ATGATTTGGCTGACCTTACCATGATGGCGACTCTTCAGCCTTATAGGTCGGCTTACAAAAGTATAAATCCAGTTGATTTTTACATAATAATGAACTCTCTTCCTCTTTTACAGCCTTAAAGCTATTCAATGATTTGTGATACCTTATATGTCTTCCAGACATATACTGTGTATCTGAGAAGGAAATTAGGTTGTAAAATTGCATGCTGAATCTAGGCAGTTCTGTTCATTGAGGGATCACCATTAAAATACACAGATAAGATGAAATAACAACATTTTACAGTTAGAAAGAGACCCAGTTAAAAACTCTGACTAGAATTAGAAATTAGAGATTAGAAGTCAAAAGGCACATGACTTCTTGGACAAGGTCCATTGGTAATATATAAATTTTTGGAGCAAGTCATTTAACCTTGATTGCTCATATGCCACAAAGGTACATTCATGTATACATTCAGATATTTATTTGGTGGGGATCTTAATATCTATAATCTTCCTAGGTTGTAAAGAGTAGACCCTGACTTACCCTAAAGACTTATAACAAGAGCTAAAAGTCTAGTTGGTAGCTCTCAGTATTTTCTCAACTGTGAGACTCCCAAAGGTGGAAATGCTTCCAATCAGCAAGGAGGCCCATTATGGGAGGAAATCTTGACAGTCCAGTCAAGATTGGAAAAGCCAGTCCAGGAAATTTCCATAAACTCTCAATCACCCCTCTTGAGCCATTGAGAACTGCTAATCTAGAAGGATATTTCCATCTCAAAGGGCAGCTCTAGGGACAAAATATCATATTTAAGGGAAAAAATGATGATCTAATAAAGAAAAATGAAAATCTAGGACCTAGCGGTGCAATCTATCATTCACCCTGTCTCTCTGCACAGACATTATCAGAGAATTTTACATTTGTTCTTAGAGAGTAATAATGATCTAATATTTTGATTCCACTCTGCAATTTATAAAATCTGTACTTACACTATATTTTCATAACAATGTTAAGACAGGGCAATGTTACTTTTCCCATTTATAGAAAAAACAACTGAGACCCAGATTAAGCTTGCCTTCATCTCACATCTAGTGAGTGTTGTAATACATGTAAACCAGGTCTTTTGACTCTAAAGCCAGTCCAGTTTCCAACATGAGGGGGAAATAAAGTTTTAAAATATATTTAAAAACTTACTCATTTTCTTTTTCAAGTCAGAAAGGTCCTAAAAAAATCTTTGAATGATTCAAAGTTAAAAAGATAAAATTATAAACTTCCATTCACAAAGTATGCTAATATGGCTATTAGCTGATATTACTGGCCAATAAGGTACTCTGGAGGAACGTTCTAAGTGCCTGTATATTAAACGTGTAAGAGGAAATAAAGCACACACGTACATCTCAGTAAACAGAACACAAAGAACATAGCTGACACTCTAAAAATGATTTATAGTCACCACTATGCAATTACAGCAAGCTTTAGTGTGACTTCCTCAGGAGCGTAAAGCCTCAAGCCGGTAACTCAGAGACTAGGCTGTTGCTTTGTCCTCCTGGTCTGCTCTGTGGTGATCATCTCCACATCGTTCCTTAGTGCTCTTAGTTCCTTTTAGCTTTAACCCCGAGTTCCCTTATCTCAGCAACCGCTACCCACTTCTGTTGGGAATGCCCTATTATAATCTAAGAAGGCAGGGAAATCAGAAAGCCAAATAGTCAAACACTCCAACATGCATACACATGTATGTCAGGTTATACTGTGGGAGGCCAACCTTACGGGTGACTGAGTTACACTCCCTAGCTGGGTGCTGAGGCGCTCAGTCACAGAAATGGGTGTGTCTTGCTACAGCCCCATGGGTGAAGCTATGCTCACCTGTTCCTTTGTAATATAACCCCTTGCCCTGTTTA